TAGCAGGCATCCTAGAACCTGCCTGCTAGCAAAGGACCTTCCCAGAGTTGCTTTTCTGAGCAACGGGGAGACAGAAGGGACCAAATACTGGCCGGCTGGGACGGGTATACAGGGCTGGGGGCGGGGCAGGCTTACTTCCGGGTCCGGTCACAAAAATCGGGTCTTTTTAAGAACGCCCCGGGACAAGGGACAAATTGTGCGGAAGCGTGATTGTCCCGCAAGAATCGGGACGTCTGGTCACCTTACCTTAGAAGGACCGTAAGAGGAGGCGGCTTTGGCCTGCGCCTCTCCTTTGGGGAAGGGGACGCAGCCCTGACCTGCCTCTCTTTTTCTCTCCCCTGCAGAAGGACGGAGGAGGAAGGAAGCGCCGCCCAATAGCAGGAGGTGCTGTGGCTGAATCTACAGCTGATTTGGCCTTCATTGTGCCAGATGTGAAAGAGCTTCTCCCTGTTTGATACAATTTACATGGGTTTTGCAAATGTCAGTAGAGACTCTCCCCAGATATCTGAAACTCCTGTCAGTTGGATTTCCTGGATGGTCCCCTTGTCTTCCAGCAGAAACCGCTGCAAGGGACAGTTGTCAGGATAGTTAAAAGTCCCCCATTTCTATGCTTTCTTTTGACCTTTCTCTTGCAAAGCCCATAAGGACTCCTGGCAGGGGGGGGGGTCCATCCTTGAAGCAGGAGGGAGGGGGAGCAGCCTGGAGAGTAGCCCTCCATGCCATCCTTGCAGCCAGCAGGAGGAGGGAAGCCAAGGGAGACATCTTTGCCTCAGGCCATCCACTGGGAAGGAGGGGAACTGGGTCATCGCCTGAAAGGACCTCAAAGGGGACTCGGTAAGATCAGAGGCCCCATTCACACAACAGCTTCCCACTCCTGACTTTGCACATCCTGAGCCCCAACTGGGTTCACAGGCTGACTGCAAGGAAAGTTAACCTGACACCAGCCAGCCGGCCATGCAAATGCAGTCGTGAGGACTTCCCTTGGGGGGGGGGGGATCACATCTTGGGGAGGGGGGAAATTGGCTTGGGAGTCATCATGATTGTGCTATAAAGGGGTCTTAATGTCTGTATTTTCCAACATTTTAAGAATGCTTTGGACTAGGATTGATTTAGGATGCCATATTATATGCAAGGATGCCACCTTATTTTTTGGCATACTTTTGGGATTTTTGTCATAAAATAAGAACTATAGTATTATTACTTTACAAGTATTTATTTAGATTTGTTTGCCTCAAGGTAAATGATTAATTTCTAAACTTTGAGGTTTATGTTTTTTCATTGACCAAACCCCAATGGACTGTCCATGATTGCAATAAAGGTTTGATAAGATATCCTTTATTGTCCAGTTTTCCTGTGAACATACTGGTACCCATTAAAAAATGGAATTCTGACACCATAGCCTATTTGGAATACATAATGGAAAAAAGAGATTTGGGAGTTCACGGGGTTGATACTTGTTCATATGGAAGAAAAGTGACAATCTAATATGCTGCTTCGGATACCGGAGTCTCTTTTCTCTTCCCAGGAGGTAACACAGCGGTTGTGGAGAGGATGTGCCGTGTGCCAGATAATCCTGCAGAACTTGCTCATATCTAGTTAGTACTATCTGTACAGTTGGGGGCAATATATCCAACTGTCATGAAAAATAACTGCAAAATACATCCCAGAGACAGTAAGCATTGTTGGGTCTGCCAGCCCTTCACCCCTCCAGCTGCCTTACCAGCCCCTCCCTCCCGAAATCCACCTTTTCCTTTCTCATCCTTCCTTTCTGCCTTCTTAAAAAAAAACCCAGCAGAGGGGGAAATCCCCTTCAATACTGCCCTCTTTTTATTTGGAAGGGACTCGGGTCACCTGGAGTCACTGGGAGTTAGGCTGCTCCCCAAATTTAATAAAAAGTCACACCTAAATAAATGGGCAAGTCTCCCAAACTTCCCTGAGGATCCTGGCTTCTCTTTCAGGTACGCAGGACACAATCTCAAAAAACTCCTCATCCTGGAGTCTTGATAGTGAAATGATCTGGGTGCTACAACCATAAAGATATAAAGAGTTGTTTTTTCTCCTTTGCTATATGTAGCGATGAGCATCCTGCACTGGATACGTTGGTTCCTAGGGATAACTTTGCACATCAGCTCACAGATGTCCTATTCAGCCCAGCCCCCCCTTAAGAAAATTCTAGAACCAAAGAAGGGAAAAGGCCTAGAACAGAGAAGGAGAAGGCTGAGGCAAAGTCTAAGAAAGCAAGTTAATTCACAGCAAGTTAAATGGAATATGTGATCCTGTTGCTTCACATCTTAGGCTTTATCATAAATTTAAAATGGCATATTAGCCTTTTTAATGTGGCATTCTTAACCTTTAAAAAACCTCTTTTTAAAGTTTAAGATGGATGTTTTCCCCTTCTTTACTAAGGCTTTTTATTTGGTATGTGAGAACAAAAGTATTCTGAAAGTGTTTGAATACAACTGCAACTTTCAAGAAATACAAACCCTGGTATAAAAGACTAATGAAACACATAAATTTGTCATTTATGGAATGTTATCTAGAACCAATGTCTTCTGTTGTTTAAACTTCACAAGCATTCAGTGTATTTTATTGTTTCATCATTTGTTTCCTGACAGTGAATATATGTGTCATTTGTTTCTGTACACTCTTTAAAAACATTAGTTTTGCTTCGCTTGAATTACTTGATGGTCTGTATTTGCAGAGGTAAAAGTCTCAAATTCAAGAAATCAAGTTCTTTTCAATTCCACACCACACTTGGGGCCTGAGTTTGGAGATTAGACATGATTTAAGATGATCGACAAATAAATAAAAGTAATAGAAAAAGAGCAGAGAGTTCTCATTTTCTCCCTGGTAACCAACTTACCTCTTGGAAGGCATCTTCAACAGTGCTGGGTTTGTACCGGTTTTACTACCGGTTCGTTCGTGTGCTCTCTCGTGTGCGTGATGTCTGCACTACCGGTTCAGCCGAACTGGGAGCAACCCACCTCTGATATTCACTCTGATAACTGGCAGTTTAGCCTGCATGAATGATGTCATAAAGGCATCAGAATTCCAAAGGAGACGATAGGCGGCCTATCAAACCTCACCCGTTCTACCTTTTTTTAGCAGTTTTTTTTAATTTTTCCCTTCTACAACACCTTACAGTCATTACATCAACATTGTTATGTCATCATACCTGTACATGTTTCACGTCTACCTTTTCTACATACCCCAATGCTAGGCAAATATCTGTAGGAGGTGACCAAACCAATTATTAAAGCTGCCCATTTCTCTCAAAAGGCAGATTATTGGGTGTAGACTGCCCCTTTGCAGGGAAGCTTCCCTAAGACTCATTTATACAGTCTCAGGTCAACCTCCCATTGCATTCCCTTTCTGTTGCCATGCTGTTTTGTAGCATCATCCCAGGTAAGTGCCCTCTATTTCTGCTTAGGTGAGAATCCTTTTTCTGAATCCTAAAGTAATGCAGCCATCCAGGACAGGAAAAAAAATCCTGTCACCCTTGAACAACTTTCAAAAGAAAATGCTGCGTAGGTTAATGATGCTGACGCCCCCCCCCCCAAGGCACATGACTTTCTTTTGCCAAGTTCCAAATATTGAGGGATCCAGCAATTAAAGAGACTCAGAAAAAATCCAACTTAGATCTTATCAAAATTGCACAATTTTATGCTCCTTTTTCCACACAATAATGTGTTGGAATGAGAGGAAATTCACCAGCAGGAACCATGGGAAGGACCTTAAAGAGGCCAATGAAGAATTCTCCCCTCCCATCCCCACAATTACTCAGATATACATCATGACTGAAGATCCTTCCACACACAGGCAAGTTTATAGTTTTTTTCCCCATGTAAATCCTTTGATATGGAAGGAAGAGCTCTTCACTCAAGGCATTTACAGGGTTTTTCTCCTCTGTGGATTCTTTGATTTGAATTAAGGGTTTCTTGTGAAGTGAATTGAAGTGATTGGAACACAATACCTCCAAGATCTCTTCCATTTATTATTGTTATTGTGTTGCTGTCCATGTACACCGAGAGCTTCTGCACTGGAGACATATTCCTTGCATGTCTAATTACACTTGACCAAATGAAATATTTAATTTGACATGTAGTTTTATTACTATGATCATGATTATCTCAAAGCTTTTATATACAATGAGTTTATGCACCAAAGACGGATTCCTTGTGTATCCAATCAGACTTGGCCAATAAATAATTCTATTCATTCTACTCTCAATTACTCAGACAAAAAGTTTTTCCATACTCAGACAAGTTTATAGTTTTTTCATGTGAATCCTTTGATATCGAAAGAAGCACTCTTCGCTCAAGGGGTTTCTATGGTTTTTCTCCTCTGTGGATTCTTTGATGTGAATTAAGGGTTTGCTGTGAAGTGAATCGCTTGCCACTATCCAGGCATTTGCAGGCAGCCCTCGATTTACAACTACAATTCAGTCCCCAATTTTTCTTGCTAAGTGAAACATTGAAGTGAATTTTATGACCTTTCTTGCCAGTTCTGTAAATCACTCCAATTGTAACAGGGTGAAGTGAATTTGGTTTTCCCATTGACTTTGCTTGCAGGAAGGTCACAAAAAGTGACATGAACCCGGAACACTGCAACTGTCATAAAAAGGAGTCAGTTTACAAGCATCTGAATTTTCATCAAGTGACGTCAGTGTGAAAAACAGCCATAAGCCACTCTCTTCAGAGCCATTGTAACTTTGAACAGTCACTAAATGAACTGCTGTAAGTTGGGGACTGACTGTATCTGGTTATTCTCCCACGTGGATTCTTTTGTGGTTATAAAGACATCTCTCCTAGAAACTCTTTCCACACTCTAGGCCCTGATATGGTTTTTCTCTTATGTGAAGCATTTGATGTCTATACAGAGAACTTCTCCTTTTGAAGCTCTTTTCACACTCAGGGCATTTATAGGGGTTTGCTCCTGAGTAGATCCTTTGATGTTTGTGAAGGTTTCCCAAAAGACTGAAGGTCTTTCCACACTCTAGGCCCTGATATGGTTTTTCTCTTATGTGAAGCATTTGATGTCTATACAGAGAACTTCTCCTTTTGAAGCTCTTTTCACACTCAGGGCATTTATAGGGGTTTGCTCCTGAGTAGATCCTTTGATGTTTGTGAAGGTTTCCCAAAAGACTGAAGGTCTTTCCACACTCTTTGGAAGGATTTTTCACATTCTGGGCATTGATATTTCCTTTCTCCCTCTTTGATCCTTTGGGGACTCTCGGATCTCCCAGACCCTCCGCCCTCCAGGCATTTATTCAGTTTCTTTTCCGAGTGGATTCTTTGATGTTTTTCAAGGATTTGAATTGTTCTGAAGTATTTTTCACATTCCCTGCATTGGTAAGGGATTTGTAAATGGAGTCTTTTATGTTTATAAAGGCTGCTGCTGTGACAGAAGCTCTTTTCACACTCCAGGCACTTGTAAGGTTTCTCTCCTGTGTGGATTCTTTGGTGTTGTGTAAGATCTCTTGTCCGACTGAAGTTCTTTCCACACTGAAAGCATTTAATTGGGTTTCCAACTGAGTGGATTCTTAGATGCCTTTGAAGATTTCCATTTGTTTTGAAGGATTTTTCACATACCCGGCATTTATTTGTTTTCTCTACCAAGTGGATCTTTTCATGTCTATAAAGGGTTCCCAATTCACTGAAACTCTTTCCGCACTTGAGGCATTTAAATGGATTTCCTAATGAGTGGATCCTTAGATGGCTCTGAAGATGCCCATTGTTTTTGAAGGATTTTTCACATCTGTATTTCTTTCCTCCCTCCTGGATGCTTTGGGGATTCTGGGATCTTCCTCCGTCCTCCAGGACCGTCTCGGGGTCTCCGCACGTTTCCTCCTCCTTGCATCGCCCTCCAGGCAGCGCCCTTTCCCGGGGTCCCGGTGGGCTCATCTCTCCTGCATCCCCGGAGCCCCCCGGCCTCCCCCGGCACATCCCGGCCTTTCCATCGCTCGGGGCTGCCCGCTCCCCTCCTCCTCTCAGGCGGCGTTTCCATCCTTCCCCCGCCGGGATCCTCCGTCCTCCTGCAGGGGGAGAGAGAGAGGCGGGTAACGGCTGCATCCCCTTCCCCGCAGGAGGGCCCAGGCCTCCGCCTCCGCCTCTCACAGTCCTTCCCCGCCCGCCCCCCTGTGTGACTCCTTTCACCGGGAGAGACCCTCCCAGACTGCAACTCCCAGCATCCCCTGCGCCAAACCTGTATCTTCCGGCCACCTCTTTCGTCGATCCAGGCAGCTCCCTCGTTGCCCGTTCCGTTCCCGGAAGTGGAGGCTTCACGCCCTTTTCTCGAGAAGTACCGCGACCAATCGTCTTCTGCCTTCCTTCAACAAGCCAGAGGCCGCCTGCGCAGTGCCGAGGGTTGCTTTCCTTCAGTGCGGAGATGAGGCGGAGGTCTCCCTTTGATCTTGGAGGTGCCTCTTTTGCCCCACCCTTTGTCCCCCTCCCCCACCCGGGGGGGCAATCTGGGGGGGGTCCTCCCTGCAGCTCCTAAGCCCCCAAAGCCCCCTTTCCAAATCTACAGGGGCAGAATCCCCTCCAGGACCCCTCCTTAATATGTGGACACTCAGCCTCTTCTGGCCTCCAGGAAGGCCCCGTGCAGCCCCTCCCCCAGCTCCCCCCCACGCGCCCCCTCCCTCCCCAGGAAGAGGGGCCCGGGGCTGGAGGGCCCCCACCACCTTGGGGGGCTTTTCCTGGTTGATGCATCGCCCCAAAGGCTGGAGGGGCTCCTGGTCCTTCTGCTCTCCTGCACTGCAGCTCCTCCTCGGCTGGGAGG